GTATCTGAATGCTATTAACCAAGAATTATGCAAAACCAAACTCAGCTTTGGATGTCCCATATTTCAACATTATGGTGCTGAGACAGAAAGATCTCAAGTTCAAGTTCATCCAGGACTACATAGTCAGTTTTACATCAGTCTCTGCAATGTAGTCATACCCTGCCTTTCAAAATTAAAGGGAAGAAAGTAGGAGGGAGAGAGAGAGGAAGAGTCAGAGAGGGAGACCAGGGGGAAAGGAAGGAGCATTGGAAGTAAGAAGGAGTAAATTGTATTTAAGATACTAAATTATGACTTATATGAAACGAAAAGAATTAAATGAACCTACTTTAGATTTTCATTAGTAGACTGCATGTGGGTTTTGGTCATTTTTTGTTTTATTTTGTGAGGCAGGGCTTCGGTTTGTAACCCAGGCTGTCTCAAACTCACAGGCCCTCCTACCTAAGACAGACCAATGCCAGAATTATATCTTCTCTTTTTTTCAATTTTTTAAAATATTATTTTTATTGTTTTTAATTATGTGTGTCTGTGTATGAGTATGCACACATGTGTATAGGTGACTGAGGAACCCAGAGGAGTCAGATCCCCTGAAACAGGAAATTTGGGAAGTTGTGAGTAGACCAACATGGGTGCTGGAAATTCAACTCAAATTTTCTGTGAGATTAGTTTATACTCTTAACCATTTAGTCATCTCTCCAGCCCCATGATTTTATGTTTATAATGAATTACATCATATAGTATCATATGATAGTCATTATAGATCTAACACTTTTTTCATAAATTTTTCCACATACATATATTGATAAGTTGAGGCAATGGGTTTTCACTTAATGGTAAAATATTTGTTCCAGATCTATAAGCCATAAAGATTGCTCTTATTTAAATTTAATTTTATGTGCATGGGGAAAATATATATATTAATCTCTGGTATAATCGCCTACAAACATGAACTAAATAGAACACAAGTGTGATCAGAAAGTAAGATAAATCCTTGCTAATACTTATCATCAGATCAACAGTCAGCCACACAATTCATTGTCATTCATACCATACAGAAGGAACAACTTCAACAGTCCAGTGTTCAGATCATCACATGTGCTTAGGAAGTGTTTGTAGTGACAATGAAAGCTAATTAGTGAATTTATGTTTTTAATCAGTCTATTTGCCCATAACCAAACAATCAGAGGCTCCAGTACAAGAACCCATCTGTTCCTGGTTTCCTTGGGATCCCTAGACATTTGACCAGAGCAGTAGGAGAAGACCAGAAGCTGGAGGAGAGTGCAAGGAGCTGCTGGGACATGTGCCCAAGAAAACAAAGGCAGAAATATCCAAATAGCAGAACTTCATGACACATTGAACCATGATGACAGAAGAGCAACTCCAGTCGGATTCATAGCAGAAACAGGCCATGGTCAACCACACCTCCCCAGTGGGTTTCATTCTCCTGGGATTCTCTGAACACCCACGCCTCGAAAAGATTCTCTTTGTGGTGGTCTTGTGTTCCTACCTCCTCACACTCCTAGGAAACACACTCATCCTTCTGCTGTCCACACTGGATCCCAGACTCCACTCTCCAATGTACTTCTTCCTCTCTAACCTCTCCTTCTTGGACCTCTGCTTCACCACAACCTGTGTGCCCCAGATGCTGGTCAACCTCTGGGGTCCCACAAAGACCATCAGCTTCCTGGGATGCTCTGTCCAGCTCTTCATCTTCCTCTCCCTGGGAACCACTGAGTGCATCCTCCTGACGGTGATGGCCTTTGACCGCTATGTGGCTGTCTGCCAGCCCCTGCACTATGCCACCATCATCCACCCCCGCCTGTGCTGGCAGCTGGCAGCTGTGGCCTGGATAATGGGGCTGCTTCAATCCATAGTCCAGACACCCCCCACCCTCCATCTGCCCTTCTGTCCCCATAGACAGATAGATGACTTTTTATGTGAAGTCCCATCTCTAATTCGACTCTCCTGTGGGGACACTACTTTTATTGAGATTCAGTTAGCTGTGTCCAGTGTCATCCTTGTGGTTGTACCTCTGAGCCTCATCCTTGTCTCTTATAGCGCCATTGCCAGGGCAGTGCTGAGGATAAACTCTGCTGAAGCATGGAAAAAGGCTCTGGGAACCTGTTCCTCCCACCTCATTGTGGTCACCCTTTTCTACAGCTCAGTCATTGCTGTCTATCTGCAGCCCAAAAATCCCTATGCCCAAGAGAGGGGCAAGTTCTTTGGCCTCTTCTATGCCGTGGGAACGCCTACGCTCAACCCTCTCATTTATACCCTGAGGAACAAGGAGGTAAAGAGGGCATTCTGGAGGCTTTTGGGGAAAAATGGGGACTCAAAAAATACCTAACAGAGAGATATGGCGGGAGGATTGCTAGACCCATGTGGTAGACATATTAAGACTTGTTGAACAAAACTATGGAGAAATTGGTAATTGGAGTATGAATGAGTGATGTGTACAACAGGAGAGATGCGATGGGTACTTGGGTATTGCTTCAACTCCAGTTCTGCTTCTGTTACAACAAGATGTACAGCTGCTTCACTGTAGTAAGCATGCGCAGTCTCTGACTACAGCATTCAGTTAAACAGAAAGTCACTCATGGTAAGCATTTCTAGCCTTGCGACATTATATATCCCACAGTTGGGAGCCTTGTCTCTAACAGGTTTCAGTGACTAGCAGGCCTGAAACATTTCCTAATGTGTACTTTTCTTGCAACTGTAAGGTAACTTTGACCAAGAACTCTCGAGGCCAAAGATTCCTCCCCACCATTGATACTTCAGTACTCCAGAGCCTGGTGGGTCAGGTGTGCAAAGCAGCAATGCACTGGTACAGCAGCCCTTTCCTGCTCTGTGGTCCAGTCCGGCACCTGTAAGTGGTTCTAGCAAGGAAATCCATCGCTGAAATCTGCTTCCCCTGTGATCAAAGCATCAGTGGATTACTACCAGTGGTGTTAAATGTGAACACAAGAATTTGTCCTTACTCTGAAGGGATGTCATGTCAGGGTCCAGACTATCAGATCTCTAAGAATTCCAAAAATATGAGGCACCCTAGATCTTTATGGGTTTTATTCCCCACTCTCTGAACTATTATAAATGCCTCCTGTACACTTTTCTCCTGGCTGATCCTGCTTAACCAATACAATTTCAATTAAGTTGATGGTTAAATTTTCTGGAATTCTAGAAAACAGTTGTCAAACTCAATCATGATTAAAGATTAGATAACTGTCAGTAATAGCTAATACTTTCAAAGTCCTGTAAAAATACTCCATGTGGCAAATTCTAAAAGCAAGTGATGAAGATCCTGATAGAAAATACTTTGTATAAGATTCTCAGAAATTTCACATCATGAAGGAAATGTTTTTGAAAGCTATAAATAGGCTGCTTATCAACAAGTCTTATTAAAATAAATCTTGAGGTTTCCAGGACAGCTAGGACTGTTCCACAGAGAAACCCTGTCTCAAAAAAACAAAACAAAATAAGTCTTGAAGTGTTATTTCTAATTTAACTCTTAAAAATGGAAGTAAAATGTTTCATTTTTTAGCAATAATGTATATTTTAGGTAATGTGTATTTAAGATCAAATTTAAACAATGAGTTTTGCTACATGTATTTTATACCATATTGAATCAATGGACAGACTGAAATGTCTTTGAACATTATAGGAGCTAATATTTGTGTGGCTTTTAAACTGTTTTTGATTAATGGATAA